ATACATTTATATATATATATATATACACACACACACACATACATATTTATATATATACCTAGCTGGGTGTGGTGGCCTATCCCTGCTAATCCCAACATGTAGGAGGACTGCAGCAAACTGAGGCCAGCCTGTACTACATAGTGAGACCCTGTTTTAAAAACAAACAAAAAAGTATGTTTGTTACTATGTTTTGAACAACAACCATTGAGAATAGTCAATGATTATTTGATTGATCACTCATGTATAGCTCTATTTGTTTTCCCTAGAGACCACTTTGGAGAATCCAAGCTATAGTATAACAACCATTGATAATTTCCTGCCATTTTTGTTTGTAACTCACTATTATTTGTCTATTTGTTTTCCTGAGAAACTATCTTGAAGATACCAATAGGTAAAATAACAACCATGGATAAGGTCCTACCACTTTGTCTGTAATTTGGTGAATCGCCTATTGCTATGTTGTCCTCCTTTTACTCTTTAAAATAAAAAAAATAAAATAAAAAAATAAAAAAACAAACAAAAAAGAACCATAAAATCCTTTTCGTATAATGTAGCAACTCAGTGAGTTCTGTGAGTCCCTCATTGAATTATTAAAACAGTGATTTCGGGAACCGTATGAGCTTGCAATTGGTGTTGGACATGAAAGAAATCTTGCGGACTGTTAACTCTGTTGTTGGTCCTTAAGTTCTTGTATCAATTATGGAATTAATATTTGCTGGAAAGAAACATAAAGTTAACCAAGAAACTAGAATTGGAGAAGGATATGAAAAACAGAAAATAAAAAATTAAAATTAGAAGACTCATCTAGAAAATCTCCTGAAATCCTGGGTTTATTTCCAGACTAAGAGGACGTAGTAAATAGCCAGCATACTGAATGAGAAAACACCCATACCAATTGAAAAACAAAAAACATCCATACCAAGGCACATCATGGCATTTCAGATGCTGGCAGAAACAAAAAGAAAAAGATAGGAGAAAAAAATTCATATACAAAGAATTAAACCAGCACTTTGGGAGACAAAGCAAGAGGACCTTAAATTTGATGCCAGCGCCTGGGCAACTTAGTGAAACTCTACCTCAAAAAAAAAAAACAAATAAAAAGCTGGAGATATAGCTTAGTATGAAGGCCCTGAGTTCAAGGCTCATTACTGAAAAAAAAAATTAGAAACAAGTTCAGACTAGTTAACGAAACTAAACTCTAGAAGAGAACGATGTAATACCATCAAAATTCTGAATAAGAATGATTCTCAATGAGAGTGATCGCCAATGCAGAATTCTATATACAAGCTGTCAGTTAAGTGTGTGCGCAAAATAAAAGTATCTGTACACATCTAGAACTCTCAAAATTTTGTGAAGAAACTACTAGAAGAGTCACTTAAAAACAATGGAATGAATAATGAAATAAGCCAAGAAAGGTAAAGGCATCCAATACAAAAAAAAGACAAATGCAAGTTCCCGGACAGTGAAGGGAAATACCAAAACCTACAGATAAAACGAGGTGCAGTATTAGTATCTTGCTATAGGAGAATGAAAGTTCTAGGAAGGAGTTCTCTCTCTTTTTTTTTTTTGCGGGGGGCGGAGGGGTTTCCGGTACAGGGAACAAACTCATGACCTTGCACTTGCCAGTCAGGTACTGTGCCTCTGAGCTAAACCCGCAGCCCCTAGGAAGGAGTTCTCAAAGAAAAAAATAATATTACAGATTATCAGGTTTGTTTGAGGTTAGAAGGGAAATTTAATTAATTTTTTTTTTGAGACAGGGTTTCACTATATAGTTCAGGCTGGCTTTGAACTCACTATGTAGCCCATACTGGCCATGAAACTGCAGCAATCCTCCTGCCTCAGCCTCCTGAGTGCTGGGATTATAAGCATGGATCACCATGTATAGCATAAGAAAAGTTTTAAATTATTTAATTGCAAGAAAGTTAGTGATATATATATATATACAGAAAATAAGAGGAAAAAAACAACATAATCACTAACTATGAAAATACCAAAAAGTTATAAAATAAACTATAATCATAGTATGTGATTCAGCTGTAATAATATGAATACTAGAAAATAATTTAACCAGACTTTGTAATATAACTATATTGGGTAAATCAAGATAGGGAATCGGGGGGCAGTGCCAGTGTTTCCACAGTAGGAAGTCATTAACTTACATCTCAAATAGAAAAAACAAACAATAATTTAGGAGCACACATGGAAATACTGACATGCCAGAAGGAAAAAACAAGTGAAACAGGGGCAAGTTGCTGCCAAGGGCTACTGAGCACCAGTCTAAATGGGGATGGAAATAAGTAACAAGTCTTTAGAGGTACTAGAACGTCTAGGGGTTACTGCCAGTAGCCAGGAAATCTACAGGTAGTCAAAACTTTAAAACCTAAGAGTAAATTTGAGGGTGCAGTGTGGTGGCACACAACTGTAATCCCAGCACTCAGGAGGCTGAGGCAGGAGGATCGTTGGGGGTTTGAAACCAGCCTGGGCTACAAAGTGAGTTCAAGGCCAGCCTGAACTACATAGCGAGACCCTGTCGCAAAAAGACAAAAAAAAAAGTAAATTTGACTTGAGGGCACTGAGGAGTAAGGAAACGCTGAGGATAGTAGGATAGAGCTGGTCAAAACAGTTTAAATACAGAGAATCCTTCTGCCAGGTAAAGAATAGCTAGGAAAAATGGCAAAAGCTGACAAAGGATTAAGACAATAGTAAAGATTTGAGTAAATGAAATATTTTCATTCAGAGAGTAATGAGATGACTAGTTTTACTCTAGAATAAACACAGATTTATTTTCTGTCTGACCTGGCTGAATGGAATTTAATAAATATTCTTTAAGGTTCACAACTCAGGTAAAGGAACAAAAACCAAACAGATATTTGACTTCAAACAGAAACATGACCCAAGAAATTCCATGTATTCACCAAGAAGAGTGTCAGCTATTTCCAAGCCCCTCCAAAGAACAGAAAAGTCAACAAGATAGTACTTGTGCTTGTGGCAGATTGTGCTTTTCAAAAAGAGCCACAGCAATATCTCTAGTCATGCAAGCTCTTCTAGAACCCCCTCAATAGGTGAAATCCATGCGCCTCCCTAGAACACAGCAGGACTCTGCCTACCTTGGCAAACAGAAGGCAGCAGAGGTGATACTATGTGCCTGTCACAGCTAAGTCCTGAAAGGCTGCATGATTCTCAGCTGCTCCTTCAATTTCATGGAATGTCCACTCTGAACCTGGACACCACATTGTGAGGAAGTCCAATTAACCACGTGGAAAGACCATGTGACAAAACCTACATGAGGGGTGAACTGCAGCCCAGTGTGGCCCATGTTCCTGATCATCAACATCAACATCACACATGCGCATTGTATGCCACTGAATTTTACGGTAACTGGTTATACAGCCATTACTAACCAATGAGGAGAACTCAAGTAATTTCAAACCCAGTAAGGGCTGGGGGTATGAACAAGTCCCTAGGTTCAATTCTCAGTGTGCACCCTTCAAAAAAAAAAGCAAAGAGAGAGATGAGTAAGGACATAAGTAATTAATATAAATTAGATATAAGTTAGCAAGATGTGATAACAACTACATGATATATAAACTAAGGGGCCTGAGAGAGAAACAAAGAATTCTAGCTAGTGGGTAGAGCAGTGAGTGGAAAATGGGAAATGTTTCACATAAGTACTGTGAGGTAGGCCTAGAAAGAATCTTTTTTTTTTTTTTCTTGGTTTTTTGAAATAGGGTCTGACTATGTAGTTCAGGCTGGCCTTGAACTTGTAGTGGTCTTCCTGCCTCAGCCTCCTAGGTGTTTGGATTATAGGTGTGCATCATCATGCCAACTCTCTCTCTATAGACAGAACTTGGGAAGGAAATAATACAAGGAAAAGGTAACACAGAACTTGATGATGAAGTATGTATCATACTGACCTCCTTAGAGATAAAAATTCATAATCTCTAATATGTGAACACTATCAAACTATTTGTAGGAAACATTATTTATATATAAATAAAGTGGACTTCTAGAGGCTGACTTCAATCATAGGACACTGTTAATTTTCTTGCTGTTTTAATTTTTACACAAAGGGCAATGACCGAGTCTACAAGGAACACACTTCTCACTGCTTCCTTTGATGTACTGGCCAAGACAAAAACCATTTGCTTGCTCACTGCTCCAGACTCAATATCATTTTAATGACAGCAATTCTCCAAGATTAGCATTCTTTGGATTTCTAGCGGTGATTTACAGGGAACCTTTTGTCTTAAACCAAAATGAAAAGAGTCAGCACCTAATAACAGTCATAAAGAGCTGAGTCAATTCTTGAGCTGCTTTAATTGCTGAAATTTACCTCCAACTTTTCTGATAAGGACAAGATTATGTCCAAAGGCATCAGGCTGATGAGCAGGGAAATAATTATTACTTACCAACCCGAAAGGAAACACTCGGCTCTTTGAGCCAAGCAGAAGCCTGAAAGGAGGAACTCTGAGCTGCTTGCACAACAATGACTCACTTTTGAGCTGGGCTTTCTCTCATGGCATTAGGCTTTCTGTTCATGTGTTCATGGAGGTAATGCTTAAACACTCAAAAACTTTATGATTTCTGTTCTCCTTACCTCATAAAACTTTTTCAAGGCGCTCACCAGGCAAAGCTTCAGGCTATCCACAATCTCTTGATGAGGCATCTGGAACACCACTCGTGAATACCATTTAGTGAGGGTCCTAGGGTGGGCCGGTGAAGAGAGGAGAAAGGAAGATGAACAGATACTCACAGAGGAAGCCTACATGGTCTACATGTCAGCACACATGTCAGGTTTCTCTGTGAATCAACCCACCAAGTATCTAAAAATTGCATTTGTGTCATGTAAGAACACAAAGTGATATGTATTCAAGCCATATACAGAACAAACAAAAAATGTATAATTGTGGCTATTTGTTATGAAACTGCCTCCAACAGAAAAATTTTCCATATAGCCACCAACAGAGGATTGGTTAATTAACAATACAGCATATAATAAATTCTGGGCAGCAGCTAAAAAGAATTGGGATTTATTTGTATCAATAATGTAAACTATCCAAAATATAGTTTAAGTACACAAAACAAGCTGAGGAACAGTATGCACAGTAATATCTCATTTGTGTAAATAAAAGACGTGCATATCACACACACACGCACACACACACATATATACATATATACAGTCATATGCAGCATCACATTTCAGCCAAGGACAAATATCATGGTGGTCTCATCGCTTCTAGGCCATTTGGCTAAGGTCAAGTGTAGTATGCTGGTAGTCTTATAAAATTTTATTGTCTAGTGATGCTATGGCCACCTGAGTTTGTACAAGTAAATGCTATGATTTTCATACAATGATAAAAGCCCCTAAGTGACATAAGACTGTATACACATTACATATGTGTGTTAATATACGCGTAAAAGAGAATCTGAAAGAATATATACATCAAACCTTGGGTAGTGGTTTGATGTAGAGGTCAGGAGGAATTTTCACTTTCTAAATTTTTACAGGTATGTAGAAGGAGCACACCTTATCTTTATAATTAGAACAAACAAAAAATATTTACTCATTTCCGGGGGGAAAAAAGCTCATGACACAAGGCACAGCCTCCATTCTTGCAAGAGGGTGTACTGCAGTGGAAAAAACTCATTACCTCTAGCCAGGCCTGGCAGCACTCGCCTATAATCCCAGTACTCAGGGAGGCTAAGGCAGGAGGACTGCCATGAGTTAAAGGCCACCTTGGGCTATATAGTGAATTCAGGGCCAGCCTGAATTACAATGTGAGACCCTTTCTCAAAAAAACCAAACCAAACCAAACCAAAAAAATCTCACACCTGTGAGGTGTGATAAATAGGCTACATAAACAAATATCAGAGGAAGACAGGAAGAAAGAGGTTAGATAGAACTCTTTATACTACAACATGCATTACTCAAAAATACCAACTGGATTTATTATCAGATTAGGCATCAAAACAAGGTAACCAAATATAAGAGAATTATGAGTAGTACTTACACATTAATGCTCGCAACAAAGCCAACCACAGAACGCATGCCTCTGCTCGGGTCATGGTAAACATCCATTCCAATCACCATTAATTGTTTCTAGGTTAGAAAACAAAAATAGCAAATCCAAAATTCAAGCAATCAATCACACTATTTTTAAATATCATCTGAGTGCTTGCTTTGGCAGCACATATACTAACATTATCATCTGAGCCCCAAAGCAACATCTCCCTAGTGTTTATAAATGAAAACAGGATCTGGGAAAGAAAGACTTCTACCAATTTGACATTTTCTTTTGTTTTTTTGGTGTTACTGTTTGTTTGTTTTTGAGACAGGGTCTCAATATGCAGTTCAGGCTGGCCTTGAGCTCTCTATGTAGCCCAGGCTGGCTTGAACCTTCAACTTTTCCTTTTCTTTTTTTTTTTAAGTGTTGGAACATTTACTGGGGAAAAGGAATGGGGACTAGGAATGGGGAATTGGAATAGCTCCCGAGAGACAGGAGGGGTCCTCAATTGACAGCCAACTTGACATTTTCCAAACACAATGAACAAAGACAAAAATCTAGACCAGGGATCAGCAAACTTTCTGTGAAAGGATTAATGAGTAAATATGTTGGGCTTTGTGAATCAGTTTGTGAAGGAAGTATTAAAATTCTGCCTTTACACATCAAAAACAGCTACAGACTGTACATAAATGTGTGTGGCTGTGTGCCAAGGAAACTGTGACGAGGACCCTGAAAGGAGAATTTCATGTAATCTTCATGTGTGATGAAACAGTGGTCTTATTTTTATGATTTTCTGCCATTTAAAAATGTAAAACCATTCTTAGTTCATGAATGGGTAGCCCGAAACAAGCCAATCAGACTTCTAAGAAAGCACTGAGAACAGAAAGGACAGCTACAGAAACAGGCAGGCTTCTTTGGAGAGCCGAACTGAAGACACATCTCAGCATCACTCACCAGAGGAATATCTACACCCCAGAGTTCTCCGCCCAATTTACAGTTAATCTGAAGCAAAATTTTCTGAGCCACACTCCGAAGTCTGGCAGGCTGACCAATGGTTCGAACATTGATAACCTACGAGAGAACCAAAATAAACAAAGAACCGCTCAGAAAATATAAACAATTCTGAAGTAAATATAGCAGTTTCTTCAATCCAGGCTCCCACTACCGTCCGATACCATTATCCAAGGATACATAAAACCCTTATATACAGAGGCATTGTGTTTGCATGTAACCTGTACATATCCTCCCATATATTTTAGATTACTTGTAATACCTAACACAGTGCAATTGCTTTATAAACAGTTGTTATATTGTTTAGGGAATAACACAAAAAGTCTGTACATGTTCAGTATAGATGTAATTCTTCTTTCTCAATATTTAAGATTTGTGGTTGGTGAATCCACTGATACAGAACCCATAGATATAGACCATACTACTTTTGTTTAAAAAACTCAAGTTAGCAGACAATATGTTTTATTTTTTTTTATTTTTTTTATTTTTTTGGTTTTTCTCTGGTACCAGGAACTGAACTCACGACCTTGCGCTTGCCAGGCAGGCGCTTTTGCCGCTGAGCTAAATCCCCAGCCCCTAGACAATATGTTTTATATTAGTAATTCTAATTTTAGGGTCTTTATGTATGCATTTACCACACACACATCATATACACATATACACACATGCACACACACACATGCACACCCACAAACAAAAAAATCAAAAAATGAAAACTAAAATGTCTCACGCAGAGTAGAATTTTTTTAATCTCCTAAAAAAACAGCTTTCCTTTTTCTGAGTGAAGTCTACACTCAAAACTCAGTCACGAGAAACCACCTGGCAGCTCAACTGCTCACTGGACAGCGAGACACTTAGGAAGAGTTATGTACCTACTACTACATGCCAGGCTACTCTGACTGGGGACCTTTCACACAAGGCACTACACATACTGGCTTCTAACAGCTACTTCAGTCTTCTGAACATATGCACCCCTCCTCCCAAGCCTCAGGAAGGCTTCCTTAGCTGCCTTGCCTCCTAGCCCCACCCCAACTCACCTGTGAGGGCACCGGGGACTGCACACAACACAGCTTCTTGATGGCCCCATAGAGATCATCACGTGTGCCCATAATGATGCAAACAACTACCTGTATCTTTCCCTTGAAAAGATAAAGTATACACAGTCAGGCTTCAAGACTATCAGGGGACACTCATGGGAATTAGTCTGCCAAGCCACAGGGTCTACGTGTAGACAGGGAATTAAAAGAAAGTGTGGACATTCCAACTAGAAAAAGGCCTGAATCTGAATGTGCCTTTGTTTGGCTCAGAGCTGCTGTGCATAAATAGGTATTATGTTACTATTAACTACCTGGGGCTGGTCTTGATTACCAAGGGTTTATTTACTAGGAGAATTTAGAACCTGGAAAAGGACCAGGCTTGAAAATATGCAAGGGTTACATTATTTGTTGATTTTAATCCTCTGCCATATTGTATACCACTATCTTTAGTTAACTAAGCAACTTATCCTCACCTTCATCCCACAGAACTTTAACTGAGGAAGCACGGCGTGCAATACTACAAAAAGTGGTTCAGAGCCAAACGCAGGAGGAATGAAGCTATTGCCAAATTCACAGAAGCCATTCTCACTCTGGTTAGGGACAGAATGACAGTGCCTGCAGTATCTTCTCTTACTGCTCCAGAGAATTAGTGCTGAAGATAGGATCTTAAAAAATCCCAGCACTTAACCCTTGATGCCAGTCACTGCTATACATGGTATATTTGTAGTATACTACTTCCTACTCAAGACTGGCACTAACACTTCTCAGAGAGCAATGCTCCAGTGATTACATCAGAGAATTTCTAAAGTCAAGTTGAACTTAGGCTTCACGCTGGGACCAGGCAGTCTGGGCACAGCAAATGTGTTTTCAGTCCCAACAATGATTAACAAGTTTGCTTTTTGTTTTTGTTTCAGAGTCTTGCTATGTAGTCCAGGCTGGCCTTGAACTTGCAGCAATCCTCCTGCTTCTGCTTCCCATGTGCTGGGATTACAGGTGTGTGCCACTACACTCAGTTTCCAAATTTGTTTTTAAATTGACAGTGGAATACCAGGAGGTCTATAGTTATACAAAATCATGCTGTTGGCTTCCACTGAAAAATGAATGAATTAAAAATCAATTTGGCAGCTGGGTGTTATGGTTGAGAACTACAACGTCCCCCCAAACGTTCACGGGCTCAGATGGGTTGGGGAAAGGCTTCTGGAAGTGACTGAATCATGGAGACAGCAGACTCGTCAATGGATTGGTGCACTGATGAGTTCATAGTTGAATGTACTGTAAGGGGGTGGGGTGTGTTGGAGGCCGGCCAGTAGGGTGTGACCTAGATGGCTGTATTCTTGGCCCTAGTCCTACTCTCTGCTTCCTAGCTGCAGTGGGTTGAGCAGCTTTTCTCTGTCATGCCCGTCCACCATGCCGTTCCTTCCACAGAGCCAGCCAACTATGCACAGACAGAACTCTGAAACCTTGAGACAAAGTACATCTCTTCTCTTTCTGGTTTTGGTTGTCATGTATTTTGTCTCAATGACAGGAAAGCTGACTAATATACTGGGTGTGGTGGAACATGTCTGTATTCCTAGCTACTGAGAAAGCTGAGACAGGAGAATCACAAGTGTGAAGCCTGCCTGGGTAACTTAGAAAGACCCTGGCTCAAAATTTTTAAAAGGTAAAAAGGATTAGGGTTGTAGCTCAGTGTTTCCTGGGTTCAATCCCCAGTATTGCAAAAGGAAAAACGACCCCATCAATTTGGCAATAGTGGGTTTATATCTGCAGTCATAGGGATTACCTCATTTAGTTCCCTATAGGCCCTTCCTAGCCAAGTTCACCACCACAATTTTACTCTTGAGCTACACCAGACAGGGACAGCTCAGTACTGAACTGTGAAGGTGGCACCTGGCCAAGTCGTCATTTTCTGAGGACAACATGTTCTACAGATAATGAATTAAAGTTAACTCAGCTATTCTCTCAGCCAATTACACAAGAAACAAATGACCAGAGTAACAAGAATGCCAACACAGAATGAAAGAAACAGAAATAACCAACCAAAAGCCATACAGACTATCTTCTCAGTTCAGTATTTTATGGGCAAATGCGTCAGATACTGGCTATTGGACATTACCAACAGCAGCCCGATAACCAAGATAATTTAAAATTAGTCAAGCCAGGTATGGTGGCATACATCTGTAATCCCAGCACTTGGGAGACTGAGGCAGAAGGATCCCCATGAGTTTGAGACCAACAGTGAGTTCAAGGCCAGCCTGCACTACATAGAAACACCCTGCCTCAAAAAAAATTAAGTACTCAAGTAATTTAAAAGAGATTCTACAAGTGTACTCAAATTAATTTATTTTTTATCTTTCGAGGCAGGGTCTCGCTATGTGCTCAGGCTGGCCTCAAACTCACAGCGATCCTCCTGTCTCAGCCTTCCCAGTTGTGGTATTACAGGCATGTGTGCAACTCAAACTAATTTCTTACCTCAACTCCAAGCATGGATTGAATGGTTCTGATATAGGTCTCTATTCGGTCATCCTTCAGTTCAACCCAGGCCGGTGGACTCATGTGCATGCCAATGGGGCCAGCTATTTTCTCTAACATGTTGACCAGTTCTCGGGCCTGATCTATTGCTTTCTTTGGGTAAAAAAGTGCCCAGAAGTGCATGGGGATCTAGGAACAATCATAAGATATTTTTAGTGCTCACAATTTGAACATTCCAAACTCACACTCGGAGCTTTTATTATAGAGCATAAATGACTTATCACTCCTTCTGCTTGAGTCCTTTCTTACCTAATTTCTACTATTCATGCAGATGTATACATAAACTGTGGCACGGTCTCACAATGAGACACAATAATCAATGAAAATGGAAGATCTATAACCATCTCCCTAACAAGATGGATAAAACTCAGGAATACAAGGTAAAGAGAAGCAACCAGACATGAAAGAACAGTTACTCTATGATTCTACAGACAAACAAAGTACAAAAAACAGCTGAAATGAACCTATGCAGTTGCCAAGTCAGAAGAGTGGTTATTCTCAGTGTGGGAGATAGCGGACAGGTAGTAGCTCCGAGTATGCAGGAGGGTTTTGGAAATTTCTGTTTTATAACCCTTGGTGATGATCACTCCAGTCATTTAATTTGTGAAAGTTGATTAAGCAATACACTAATATGTGTGCTTTTTCTTTAAATACATTTCAATATGCTTTTACAACACATACATGTATTTTATACATGGTCACCAAGATCAGGTTAGTCAGAAACTCTTAGAAATAATTATAGACAACTTTGTTCTTTGAGGTAAATAGCTAATGTATGAGCTGCTCAGGAGGTGGGGTTACTGATTTTACTTCTTTTACAGATAAAAGTATCTTCCAGAAACCCTCAGAGAAAAAGAGGGGAAAAAGAGAAAGGAAAAAAGGACAGTGCTAACAGGCTGCTACTACATTAATACTACAGAAATGCATATCCTTGTCTTCAGTCTATGGTCAGTCATAGGGCTTTCTTCTAACAACCCCTCCCACTGCTCTGCTGGAAGGACCTTTGTCTAACAGGTAACTTAGAATGGAATTCAACTGGTACGTTCTCTCAAAAAGAGGATACTAGGTCATTCCTGTTTCCTAACTTTAACACATTGAGGAATATGGGGCCTCTCTTTACCACTTTAAAATTACTCACAGTCAAGATGGAAGGGTCTCTGGTTACTTCCTTTACAAAGCTTAGGTCCTGAGATGTGATAAATGAAGTATTTCTTAAATTAATTCTTTCCATTGGTAGAACACGTCCCTCAATCTAAACAGAAAATAAAGGATCTGTGAAACAAGTTATCTACAAATATTACTTAGGAAATACTGGTACTATTGTCTACTTGTGCCTGTTACAATTTCTGAGAATGACAGAAAAACAGAACTTCTAGTAGCAAGAGTGCATATTAACCAAAACCTAGATACATACAGGTAAAATGCTTACAAGCATTATTCTTTCATTACTCAGTTTCCAACATGGTATCCCAAGAAATGGATTCAAAAATCCTCATTAGAACCAGTGAATGAAGGAATATAATCTTTAAAAAATATTTTAAGAGACTGGGCATGGTGGTGCACACCTATAACCCTAGCACTCTGGGAAGCTGATGTAAGAGGACTGCTTCAAGTTTGAGGCTCATCTGGGCCACAAAGTGAGTTTAGGGCCAGCCTGAACTACATGGTGAGACCCTGTCTCAAAAAAAATTTTTTGAACAGGTATAAAAAAAAAAATTAAAGGGCCAGGGGTTTAGCTCAGTGGCACAGCACCTGCCTGGCAAGCATGAGGTCCTCAGTTTGATTCTTGGTGCCCCCCCAAAAAATTAAAGGCAAAAAGCATTTAATAAAGCTAACCATAGGCCACACCCCACATTCCCAGGCCTATTTAATTCTTTTGGCAGTGCTGGGGACCAAATCCAGGGTCATGCACATGCTAGGCAAGCACTCTACTACTGAGCTATACCCCTCACCCCTATTTAATTCTTTAATTTATTAACATTATCATTATTATTAATTTGGCTTCTGGAGACAAGGATTCACTATGTAATTCAGGCTGGCCTTGAACTCACTATTTAGCCCAAGCTGGACTTGAACGTGCAGTATTCCTCCTGCCTCAGCCTCTTGAGGGCTGAGATTACAGCCGTGCGCCCCACACACAAGGTGAATTCTATCCTCATTTCACACATAAGAAGAGACGCTAAGCAACCTGCTCAAAGTAACCAAGGTTACAAGCAGCAGACCTGGGACTCAAAGCTAGAAAAGCTAACCCAAAACCCAATGCCCTTCCCACCATCTTATGCTGTTTCTGTGCGATGGATCATGCTTGCACAAAAGGCAACGCTGCTGACTTGGGCAACTTCAGCGGGAAGGGCCATGTGAAATTAAATGATAAAAGCTGGAAACTCTCTTAAGCCTAAGGAAAAAATAACGGTAGCACATTCAAGGGAATACAAGTTAATTATTAAGAGAGAAAAAAGCTTGGGGGGAAAAAAAGAACAAAGAAAAGAGGACATAAAACTTTAAATAATCATTTGGTCTGGCAATAACAAATGCTGGCAGGGCTGTGGGGAAAAAGGAACCCTTTCCCACTGTTGGTGGGAGAGGAGATTGGTGCAATCACTGTGGAAATCAGTGGGGAGATTCATCAAAAAACTATGACTAGGGGTTCCTTTAACCCAGCTATTCCCCTTCTTGGTATCTTTCCAAGAGGATTAAAAGCATCATGGCCGGGGATATAGCTCAGCAGCACAAGCACCTGCCTGGCAAGTGCAAGGTCCTGAGTTCAATTCCTGGTACCATCCTTCAAAATTAAAAGCATCACACCACAGCAATATATGCCCACCTGTGTTTATAGCAGCATAGTTTGTAATAGCCAAATCTTGGAAACAGCCTAAATACCCATCAACTGGTGAATAGATAAAGAAGACATGGTTTCTTTTCTTAATATAATGGAGTACTACTCAGCCATAAAGAAGGATAAGCTTGAGACATTTCTAAGTAAATGTATGCATCTTGAGACCGTACTCTTAAGTGAAATAAATTGGATACACATGTGTAAATACCAATTGTTTTTCTGGTGTGAGAAACTGAAAGTGTAAATAAGGACCAAAATATATAATAGGTATTGTGAAATAAGAAGAAAATGTTCAAATGGGGAAAGAAACAAGGGAGGGGGGAAAGAAGAGAAAAGTATAAAAAGTGAGAAAAGAAGGAAAAATGGAAACAAATGGGGAGAGTGGGGTTGAAGTGAGGGTAGGAGAATGGGAAAAAAAGAAACAACTTATATCATGTACAGGCACCAATTCTCCATGATGAGTGTGATCACTGTATATATATAAAATGTACCAATAAAATATGATTTAAAAATAATTTGTTTTGGAAAACTAAAATGAGGTAAGTTGTAAGTCAACACTGAATCCTCTTATTACTTCTTTGATGAGAAGTTAGTAGCTAAGATCTGAGAAATACAGAGGAAAAATCTGTAAATGATACTGGTAAATTAAGTCAAGCAAATTCAAGTACCAGGACTGGAATTTTTTTTAAAAAGAGTACAAGAATAAAGACTCCACACTAAAGACAATGTAGGAGTCGCCAGCTTGTCTCACACGACTCCAGCACTCCTGGCCAATGCTGTTTCCTGGCCAGCATGTCCTCTGGCTACCTTGTGTATGTCCTTTTGCAGACAGAGCCCCCAACGCATCAGTTCATTGTTGGCTGCCTCGTTCTTTGAAATTCTCTGGATTAAGCACTCCAAAGCATTATGGTGCTGTTTGGGGCTCAGGTTGATCTGCTGGGTCAAATCCTAAATAGAATTAAAATAAAGACAATAAGCTATAAGTATTGCTTTCTCCAATAAAGGTAAGTAAAGCTCAAATCATCTGAAATGTTTCCAAAAGAAATGTCCTTCCTATTGAAAAGAGTAGAAATTTTCAAGTATTTCCATGAACTTTTATAAGTATCTCTTAGGAATGTGAATGAGGTACAGGGATAAAAATTTAACATTAGAAGAACTGTAAATGTTACTGGCTCTTCCTCATAACAACTGAGTCTTACATCTTTCTCAAAACATGTTCTGAATTTAAAATCCCTAAGAGCTTCTATCAAACATAAGCAAAGGGAGTTTGATTACACTTATTTAAAATGTGGAAAAAGGGAAAGAAAGAGACATGCCAACATCCACTTACAACGGAATAGTAAGCCACTTCATTCTTACACTTGGTCAAACCATACTAGCCATTCAACAGTAAGAGAGGGTACTTTTTGCCCAGAACTTGCCACAATGTTGACTCATCAGAGGTGCTTGCTAATACTATTAAGTAATATGTAACAGTTACATATGAGATTCTGAATCATGCAACTGCATTCATCCCAGCTGTTATCTGGGATGTCTATGGGGCTATATAGACAGCTTTCCTCTCTGATTATAAAGTTATTAGGCAACTGGTAGCTATAAGAAAAGGGCCTTGAACTGTATATTCAAAATAGAAGTAACAGAAGGTAAACATGAATGAAAGAAATTTCTCACAGGAATTTTCAGCTTTACTTCATGGTTTTTATGATGTTACTAAAAGTTCTCTGTGGCCTACGATCTAGTTCAGTGGTGTTGAACCTGTGGCACATGTGCCGCAGTGGCAGTTTGTTATCATGGAAAGCTCTAAAAGGTTCGCCATCATTGAAGCTGAAATTAGGGAAGTGAGGCAGCAGAGTGAGCAGCTCCAGCGTGGACAGCCCCTGAGTGGCAGACAGTGAGTCTTACATGAAGCTCAGCTGCATGCTGTGCGGGGTAGCTGTTGAGCTCCTTTCTGCCTCTCAGCCTGCTCCACCAGGAGCTGAGTACAGCACTCTCAGGACCTCAGAGCCGTGTTCCACAAACGTCTGCCCTCATCTTCCAACTTGCTGATTTTTTGCTCCACTGTCTCCTCCACATTTTCAAAGAAAGTGAGGTTTTACAGAAATGTTACAGTAACTTAGGACCTTTAAAGAGCCTCATTTACGGTCACATCACCAGTTACTCATTACCCATCTAACTGGGGAGGATGAAGACAGAGTTGTTGGTTTCTTTTTTCCTTATAATCTAGTCCACCCACCACTGTTCTAATGACCTTCAAGGCAGTTATGACACACTCTTTCACACTCTATGTGGGAAAGGACACAGATCCTATTTCACATCGGAAAAACTGGAGCCTGGAAGAAAGGTGATAATACAACCCAGAGGCAGAGAGAAAACCTGACCCAGGTCTAACTCAAACTCTCCAAAAGGTTATGGTTCAAAGCTGATGTCTCCCTGCTGCAAACAGCAGGACTCCAACCTTCATGGCTCTGAAGTCCTTCTTCATCTTCTCTGGAATTCCAGTCATGAAGGAAAGCTCAGGCAAAAGCAGGATTTCACCTTTCAGCAGCTTTTAAGAAAGCACAGAAAGAGAAAGTGAGGCAGTTAAGAGAGGATGGTGCTTCCCTGGCCTGCACAGGACAAGCATGACCACAGGCCAGTCTGCAGTGACATAACTTGCCACTGAAGAGCATAAAACCCCAGAGAAGAGGGCAGGGAAACACTACAAGTATTTGCCCATTTTTTCACTCAGCCACAGTACGGGTAGCCTATTAGGTAAAGAGAAAAATATAAAAAAGTCAGAAGAGCAGGGAAAACTAGAAAAGCAACAAAACAAACCCAATTTTGTTCCTCTGGGAACTCAAGATAATACATCCTACCAAGCTGTGTGTCTCACTTTAATCCTACCTTGCCTCAGCCTTTATTTTATATAT